TTAGGAAGAGAAGTTCAACATAACAAAATAATTACATATTATTTTCCCTGGTCATCCTTTATATATATTATAATGTATAAAATACACAAAACTTTTATAATACTGTACAATTAAAAAACTAGAAGCAAAAAGTGATGCTGTATAGGTCTGTGTACTCAATAAGAATTGTTCCATGTATACAAAAATATTACTTAATTACTTAATTAAAATACTTAATTTCTTGATGATTAATCTTAGGATTACTAATATTTCAGCCTTTTCAGTATTTTCTTACCTATTATAAGACAAAAGTCTATTCAGAAGCATACTGAAAGGGAACCTTCTAACTTACTTTCTTAACAAATTCCTATGGTATTCATATCATAAAGTATTAAGAAAAGATGGCTCAAAGAAAGACAATGATGACGTTTTTATAACAAAAATCACAGAATTTTAGAAGTAAAAGGGATTAAAAAAAATACTTTACAGGTGAAGCCCAGAGATTCACCACTTGCCCAAAATTACATAGCTGGTTCCTCACTAGTGATTCCCATGCTTAATTTCTATACAGCATATTAAGAATAAAATAAAACAAAAATCTCGGCATAATCTAACTGGAAATATAAACCACTATTATTAATAGTAACATAATTTGCTTCACTGGAAACTGGTTTTTTTAGACAAACACATTAAATAATTTCTAGCACTTGAGTACAAATATAAAAACTATGAAAAAATTCTTAAGTCTCCACTGCAATAACATATAAAAAGCATACAAAAAAAGCTAAATACGAAGCACTGATAACCATGATTTTGAAAATGAAATAATTTATTTGTGTATGGCGGGAATCAGCAAAAACAAGCATACACACCATTATAAACCTTTCATGATAAGCAATGCTTTGGCCAAAAGATATCAGAGCACCATATAAATTTCAGCACATTTCTGTCCAACTCAGCTGACTCACAAGTGAAACACTGCTCTCAGGAAAGAGGTATAGAAAATGAAAAGCCATTTCAGATTATATTCCAAACAATATAAAAATCAGGAAAAGGGATTTTCAAAACATAAAGATTGTTACTATTGCAATATCATGTAAAGCCCATGAAATAACCTCAAGAGAAGTACCTTTTAAAATGGAGGTGAAAAAGGAATTTTAAAACCTGATGTTATCAATACAAATGTTCTTAAAGTAAAAACAGTGAAAAAAGTCCCAAGCAAAGGCATATAAATGGCAGAAGTCATAATATTCTTTACTAAATCCGTGGATGAATTTCCAATAAGGAGGAATAAACAGAGAAACCTGAACTTTTAAGTAACCACGCCAAGGTAGAGAGGGAGGAAAAGAGGGAGTGAAGAAGAAAAAAAACGGAAAAAATTTGTAAATAAAGGGAGATAAAACAATCCATACAAATTTCAAACATGCATTCATGCATACATAGGCACAGGGTAGATGATCATTTTTTAAATAACCTGAGGCAATATTAAATGTCTCATAAAAGGCAAATTAATGCAATATTAAAAGAAAGCATCTAAGATAAATTCCACCATACAATATTTAACCCTACTCATTAATAAATTATTCTTCTTAAAATTATTAATTTTTAACTACTCAACACAAACTAGAGTAATAATTAAAAGTATCCTTTGATACAGGGCTTATCTGATACATGTGAAATTCACAGGAATAACTGTAAATCAAAAATATGGTTTAAGCAAAATTATCTGAATAAACAAAGTTTAACTAAGCTGTGTCACGGTAATTAATGACTTTTAATTTTAAAAAAGAGTATACTGAATGACAGCAACAATCAGCATTTCTGTTATCAGTATGCTGCACCGCAGAACAGCATCGTAAAAGTCTTCCATGAAATAAAGCCAGAATACGTTCAATCAACTGCTATCACAATGATGACCCTAGAGAGGCTTTCTACTGCCCCAAAACAACAAGAAATGTACAATTCTGTAGCCTATGCTACTCACCTTATCTTTAAAGATATGCGGGTTTTGGTATATAAAATCTCGGTAGCTTTCTGTTCGTACTTTGTCCTAGGGTAGAGAGAGGAAAACATTGTGTTTATAAGATAGTCTAAACAAACAAATTTTTTTTTAGAGAGATATTTGCTATTTTATCACACATTGCTAGTTTCCACAGCTATTTTTCCGCCTGGAAAACCAAGTTTTTTTTTTTTTCCTAAAAGAAAACAATAAAGAATAGAAATAGCAACAACACACAAAGAAAATGTTTAAGAACATCACTGAAAGTCAAATAAGCTCTAAGTTCTTAAAATTGTATACATTTTCCTTTTTATAGCATTACCAACGTAAGACTTCAAGTGATAATTAAAGCTAACAGAAGATGAATATGATGTTTTCTCCCTCAAATAGGGCCTGGAATCTAGAGCCTAACTCCCTCCCTGTACTAGAGCTACCTTAAAAGAAAAAAAATATATAAATGTAAAAGTTGCAGTTACATATGAAAAATGAAGCTAACCTGAGTGTTTTCTAAGAAAGTCAATGATCAGCACCTATCTGATTTATAATTCTGCTTTGTTTCTAGAAATTTCCGTAGTAGGAAATGATGCTTAAAAGCCTGCAAGCCTAAAAGTAAATCATGTGAGCCCTGCAGCCCACATTATGAGACTCCTACACTCTGGAGTCTCACATGACCTATGACCAAGGCAGGCATTCAACTCTAACATTTATGCTGGTTGGTGAACAAAACTGATTCCCTAAGTTGAGATACATACTGACTGCAAATTAAGCAGGTAAGGGCTCTGTTGCCAAGTAAAATATGATTATGATAAAATAAATTATCACAGAATGAGAATTCTTGTTTTGGGTTTCACACTAGGTAAAAACAGTTACACCGAATGCTATAATATCAAAATGTCATACGAACCATGCTCCCCAAAACATTTTTATTCCAATATTGGGCTATTTTTAAAAAGCCTACAAAGGAAATCTTATATTAAAAGGCAAGTCATTTAACTTAATTAGTAGACTTACAAAGGGAAATAGCCATAATTAATTCCATGTTTTCTGATTATTATTTCTAATTGCTTTACAAAAAATTTTAAAAATCACGTTTATTAAATCTTCCCCCGAAAATTATTTTAAGAATTATTAAGCTAGATAATTTTGATATCCTATTTTAAAACTGGCTTTTTAAAAAATCATACTATTTCATACATTTTTACCTTTTATACTCCTCTTACACTATAACCAGAGATTCTTTGCTGAAACAACAAACCTGCAAAGGGTGAACATCGGTCAGGAATGCAGTCACTTAGAAAGCTCTCACCAATCATACTGCCTCACCACTGCTTCAACTTAAATCAATAGAATCCCAACTGCTCTCCTAACTCCATGCGCTACTGGTTGAGTGAACTACAATTATTCATTCTGGGTCTTTCTACATATTCATCAGTTTTTGCTCATATGCTCACCCCAATGTAATGAAACACAAAGTACACCAAACATAATGTCTTGTATCTAAGCAGAGCTTCAATTTAGTAACTGAATTTTTGAAAGAAAAATCCAGTGAGCACGAAAATGCAAGCAAATAGAAGACCAGCCTTTGTAACAATTCTAATTATTTATTCTAACAAAGGCTAACACTTCAATACTAAATAACAAGGCAATAAACAGAAATTTAAAAAATGATCTTTTGTACCAACCTATTAAAACTAAGAAACACAAAAGAACAAAATTGCAGCTCTAATACTCACCAGCAAGATAGTATTTTAACACTAGTAAAGTGGCATGGAATTATTCCTACGAACATATAAAAATATTTAAGAATGAGGGTAAAGACAAAAGTTATATACTATAAATAACAATGTTTGTAATTTATAGGCTTGTGAAGGTGGACAGAAAGCATGAGTCAGCTGCAGATATAATGAAGAGAATGCAGTAAAGAAAAATTACTAAAATTTCAATGTATTAAATGATACTATGATTTGTAATATATGCACAGCAGAGTGAATAATGTTTCTCTTGAAAACAGAGAGATGCATTTCAGATTTATAATATTAATCAAAAATCTGACATTTCTTCAAAAAGATTAAGTAGCAAGGAATTTGGAAAGTTCATGTAATCTATTCCTCTATCAATTATATCTCTGGAATTCAAAAAAGGTATCTTCATCTTAACTCCAGAAATAAGATCACAAACTACTTTTATTGAAAAGTACAATCAAAGCATACCAGAATAATGCCACTAAAATACATGAAACTAAGCAACAAAAAATCCAAACCATACTGTATAAAATGTAGGCCAATTCCATGCATAAAAATAAGTCCTATAAATACGGTTTCTCAACTTTAAGTTATTTATAAAAATTAGGTAAGATTCTGGTAGTAGCATACCTTAAACAGTTTACGTGTGCTAAGAATTGTTCTGATGAGAAACAAGAACTAAAGCTCAAGGCATGCTTCCACATTTATCCACAGCACATAGCAAAACACAAAATAAACAGTTCTATTCGAATGGAATAGGAATACATTATCTGTATTTCCTATAAATACTTAATGAAGTTGTCTCCAAGAGGAGGAAATTACATTGTACAACTAAGGGAAACTAAGGCATAGAGAATGATATTAATAGGCATACTTGAGTGATTCTCTAAAAGGGAAAAGATGGCACTGGAAACTTTGAGCTGGAACTTCCTAAATCTGTATGTACATCAAAAGGAGTTAAAGCTGTAAGATCAGATGCGAAATCCTCTAATTATTGACAAATAGCTACAAGTGTCCAGGACAGAGATTTGTAAATGTGAGGCATTCAAACTGAATTTCTCTGATGATTGTACTGACAACACTCGTATTTATTGGGAGTCTCAGTAACCTTTAACCTGTCTGAAAAGTCCAACGCAATTTCTATACCAAGGCTAGTAAAGGTTCATAGTATTTAAATTGATGGGGTGATTTAAAATGACAAACATGAACTTATATTAACTCCTTTAAAGAAAATATTCTAGACATAATAAAATTAGTTTTAACAAAGAAAATGGAATAAGTCAATTTCTTTTAAACAAATTCACTCTGGATTTAACAGTAATTTATTACTTATAAGAAGATATCTGTTATTTGTAATGCTATGCCATTACCCAAGTGACAACAAAAAGCACAACTGTGACATTTCATTGTAATGATATGACACTGCTTTAAAAGACCCTACATAAGTACAATTATTATAAATCAGCAAACTTCCAATCTGTGATCCTGCAAAACTGACTCAACAAAATATATACATGTTATTAAATATCCCTGGTTAATTTAAATGCATATGTTTCAGGGAAACCTAGTCTTAGGGCCTCTATAAAATAAATCAATCTTTGGAGGAAGGATTTAGGAAGGAATTTTTTGTTTGTTGGTTTTAAGTAAATAAAAGGTAATGGTGGCATTTAAAATTCACAGAGCTAAGCATCTAAAATTCTCAATTTTTACATTCCAACATTTACTTTACTCCAAATATTTTTAGTTTCACTAAATTAAAAATTACATCTCGTCTATTTTATGATCTACAATACCTGATAAAATATATAATTACCAGGTACAGCTAGAAATCGACTTCTATTTTATATGGACGTTACCATTATAAAAATTAAAACCAGCCAGATCTAAATATAGCCACACGTCACTTAATGACGGAGACAACTTCTAAGAAATGTGTCAGGTGATTTTGTCATGTGACCATTAAAGAATGTACTCACACAAATCTAGATAGTACAACCTACTACACACCTAGATAATATGGTATAGCCTATTGCTCCTAGGCTACAAACCCATATGGCACATTACTGTACTGAATACAGTAGGCAATTATAACACAATATTAAATATTTGGTATCTAAACATACCTAAACATAGAAAAAGTACAGTAAAAATATGGTATTATAACCTTATGGGACCACCGTGGTATATGTGGTCTATAGTGGACCAAAATACTATGCAGTGTACAACTATACCTAATTTGACCAATCTAGGAAATACTCCTATACAGCAATGATTTCGAATGTGAAAAAGTTATTCCATAATACTTGTGAGAATTATAATTAAACTTTATATCAAAGAATTATTATTTGCCCAAACAAAAGCCAGTATTGCTATTTAAAACACAGAAATAAATCATTTCATTTGTATATTAAAAGGCAAAATGTATAATTTAATCTATTTAATCATTCCTATTTAATAGTTGCTCTTGAGAGACTGTTGTCAGTTGCTTTTTCCAATATTCTCAGCAAAAAGTGATTTCATAATAAATATTAATGATCTTAAATGGAATTTACAATGACTTTGATGCCTCTACAATCTTTTCAACCCAAGATGAGCTATCAAGCACCAAAGTTTAGAAAGCAGTTCTCCCCACCCCTCAAAAAAGCAGTTCTTCTACAGTATATGTATTAAGAAAGAATCTGTTTTATTCTGTTTTTTCTCTAATATGAATTTGGCACATTTGTGCTCTTTTCTAACCTTTAGCATTTCTTCGTGTATCCCATAATGCCCGTAGGAGCTGAAATAAACACCATCCTCATCCTCCTGAAGGTCTGCAATGGCACTAGTAGATGATGAGCGGGTTCTGACATCTGTGTTCATCACAAAATCTTGGGCAAATTGTCTGTAATCAATTTGAAATACACCCTTGAGACAGGTTTATTGGACCATGAAAAAAGGGAAGGCTAGAGGTTGAGAGAGAGGAAGAGGGAGGGAGTAGAATGTGATGAGCCTTTTAAATCACATTCTATCTTGAATGACTGAAAGCTCCCCCTGCTGGATCTTAAGCAATGGCATATTCAAACTCAATTTTAAGCACTCCTGCAAACCACAAAAGCAATGACAACTGCGGATTATAGTTCTTTGTATCTTTCAACTGAACAAAATAAGTGCATTACCTTTACTAAACTTTATTATTTCTACTGTTCTAAAATCCTTTTTTGGGAGCTAAATCAATGTAGTATATTTCAAATTCTATTAATATTCTTTAAAACCATACTCTCTTTTGGGAGGGTTCAATAAGCAGAAAGTAGACCCAAATAGATGTTTATTTGCATACACCAACACCATCCACTTCAGCTCTAAAACTCAACTCCCCTTCTGATCATGAGACATTAACAATTCATGAGGTATGCAAACAGGAGAAGTGCAAAGGGACAGAAGGCAGAGTTGGTGTTGGTTACTAGGTTACCTGACACAGAAACTCAGAAATAAGGAAGGTGAACTAAAATTGGCTCTACTCTCTTTCCTCCTGGACACGCTGGCAAACCATCAAATGAGTACTCACGCAATAGCAATGAGCTTACAAATCCAACAGGTAAAGTTCCAAAGTATATTTGTTAGAAATGCAGAACCTCAGGTCCTATTCCAGATCTCCTGAACCAGAATCTACATTTTAGAAGATCCCCAGGTGATTTGCATACACATTAAACTTTGAAAAGTACTATAAGAATGCTAATTTACTCACTGGACAAAAATGTCCCCATGTTTCTGGTTTTCTGGTTAAATACTATACCACAATTATATTTCAATTCTTTAAAAATAAAAATTTGAATCTTGTATCTTCTCCAAACCTAAAAAATACTAATCCCTCTGCTTTAAAAACCTAGAACAGGAACAGTAAAATGGGGAGATCACCTGAAAATAGGAAAATTGAAAGGAAGGCAATATGAAAGAACAAAAACATTCAAGAGGACACTTGTCAGAACAATTACCATTAGTACAAAAGTAATTATGAAGAAGTATAATAGGCAAAACCATAAAATTTATATTAATCGACTATCCACAATAGTTGTATAATAGTATATAGTTGTATAATAGTAGTATAAAAATGCTACATATCTTTAATACTACTAAAATAAAACATCTACATTGTACTTTCCAGTATATGAAATGTTCTACTATATTCTACATTGCTATTTGCTGCATTACTTTGGGGACCTTAACAATTTTCTATAAGATTGATAAATTACTTCATTCTTTGCAGATCCTCACGTGCTCTAGCTAATGCAGCTTCAGCAGACAATGCCCTGGCTTCCATATGTTTCAATTTTTCAACAACAGATGTATTTTCACTGAGTCCATTGGGGTAAGAGAATGGTACTGACACCGGTTCATAAAGATCTTCTACATCTAAAGAAATAAAGTGGACATTATCATTAGGCTGTTAACAACAAAGCAAGCATAAATATACTAGAACTAAATATATTGTAAGTGCCCATTATGTAGCCAATTGAGAAAAATTAGTAAAAGTACTTTTAATTAAATATTTATCATCCAAACTGTTACAATTTGAATTCGGAGAACATGCTGTTAGTCTAAGCTTTTCAGGAGTTGGCTAAATTGAACACATATATAAATATTAATTATACAGAACCAAATGCAGGAAGAATAAAGTAGAAGGAAAAAACCTAATATTTATTAATCACCAGGTATCTTTCTAGTACATACACTATATCTCATTTCGTCCTCAAAAAAAACCTAATATATAAATATTTATCCCCATTTTAGGCATGGAAAAAATGAATTTCAGAGAAATGAAGTGACTAACCTAAAATCATATAGCTATGTCTGGAGGAGCTAAGATTCAAACCCACACCTGCCTTCCTAGCCCATGTTCTTAACACTATTCAAAGCTACCTCTCAGCCTGTGACCTTGTACAACAGCAGGTAGTACTCACAAGCAGAGTAGAATAGTGGTTGTCAGGGGCTGAGGGTTGGAGGAAATCGGGAGATAGTGGTCAAAGGTTAAACTTACAGATTTGAAAGAGAGAAAGGATTCAGAAACATTGATTCATAACTACGATTTGCCAAAACAGTCTAATTCAAAGTCCTAAACTGCCTCGGGATGTGCAAATCACCTGGATACCTCATTTAGGCAGATGATGACTACTACAAAAGGTGGTCAATTTTTCAGGAAAATATAACAACTACAATAAATGTATATAAACCTCACAAAAGGGCTTCAAAATACATGAAGCAATTAAAGGCAAAAACAGACAATCCTTCAATCACAGTCAGATTTAAACACACCCCTCTCAACAACTGAAATAACTAGATAAAAAAAAAATCCAAAAAGGTATAAAAGAACCAAACAAAATTATTCAGCACCTTCACCAATTTAGCACTCATACAGTAACTGGAGAATATACATTCTTTTCAAATGCACACAATATGTTCACCAAGAAAGACTATGTGCCAGGCCTCAAAAACAAGTCTCAAGAAATTTAGAAGGGCTGAAACTACAGGGTATGACTATTGACCACAATGGAATCAAATTAGAAATCAACTAATAATGAGATGTTTAGAAAAAAATCGAAATATTTAAAACTTGAACACATTCTTATATGAACCACGAGTCAAAAAAATATTAGAAGAAAAATTTATGGGATACTGAAAAAGCAGTGCTCAGAGAAAAATTTATACCTTTAAATGTTTATAATACAAAAGGTCTAAAACCAAACATTTAAGATTCAATTTTAAGAAGCTAGAAAAACAAGAGCCAAACATAGGCAGAGGAAAAAAAAAGCAGAAATCAATGAAGTAAAAAAATAGACTAACAATTAAAAGTTGGCTCACCGAAAAGACAAAAATTGACAAAGTAGTTAAGAAAGCAAAAGAGAGAAGACAAATTACTAAGATCACAAATGAATGAGGTGTTATCACTAAATACATAAAGATAAAAAAAAATCAATAAATTCATATTCAATATATAAATTGAATATTTTATAAATTTTTATTAAAAATTTTAAAAACCCAATACAGTCAACAAATTGGACAAAATGAAAAAAATTCCTTGAAAAATACAATTTACAAAAACTGACACAACACAAAAAAGAAAATCTTAAAAGCCCACTACCTACTAAGCAAACAATGTATCACAAACTTCCCATGAATTAAAGTTCAGGCCAAAACAGTTTCCATGATGAACTCTACAAACATTTATTTAAGAAATAACAGCAATCTCACACTCTTTCAGGAAACAGATGAAAAGCAAACATTTTCAACTCATTTTATGAGGCTAGCCGTAAGTCTGAGACCAAAACATAACAGAACTTACATGAAAAAAAAATAACAGACTAACAGCCTTCATGAATCTAACAATATACACAAAGGATACTACACTAGGACCGAATAGAATTTATCCTAGGAATGCAAAAAGGTAAAAAGAAAAAAAAAAGAGATTAGAAAGGAAGAAGCAAAAGTGTCTCTATTTGAAGATAACGTGATCTTAAAGTAAATAGAAAGAAATTTACAAAACTACTAGATCTAAAGAACACATGGTAAATACATAAAAATGAATACAATTTATCTACTAGGAGCAACCAACTGGAAAATAAAATTTAATTCAATGTTGTTAAAATGTCAATTCTCCACAAACTGATCTATAGATTAAATGCAATCCCAATCATAATCCTAGCAGACTTTTGTACAGAAATTTACAATTCTAAAATGTACATGGAAATTCCTAAGATCTAAATTTTTCAACTGTTTTTATTAAATTGATTGAAAAGAATTCTTAATATTCAAGTATACTAATTATAAATACTAATAATGCATAATAATCCCTTGCCAATTATTCATATTGCAAAACCTTCTTATAGTTGTGGCTTGTCTCTTTTCCCTCTTTGGAATCTTTTTTTTGGGGGGGAGGGTCCAGGAGAGATAAGGCCTTGCTCTGTCACCTGGGCTAGAGTGCAGTGGTGTCACCATAGCTCACTGCAACCTCAAACTCTTGGGTGCAAGTGATCATCATGCCTCAGCCTACCGAATAGCTGGTCCTACAGGTGCATGCCACCACTCCTGGCTGATTTTTCTATTTTTTTTTTTTTTTGTAGAGACAGAATCTTGCTATGTTGCTCAGGCTGGTCTTGAACTCTTGGCCTCAAGGGATCCTCCCTCCTCAGCCTCCGAAAGTGCTAGGGTTATAGGCGTGAGCTACCATGCCTGGCCTATAGTATCTTTTGATACACAAAAATTCTTAATTTTTACTGTAGTTGAATGTATCAATATTTTTCTTTATAGGATGTGTTTAAATTGTCTTAATAGTTCCCTATCGAAAGATTAGAAAGGTATCCTATACTGCTTTGTCTTTAGTTTCATAATTAAGTAAATAGATTTATTTTTAAGTATGTTGTAATTTTTTGCTATAGTAAATGGTACTAAAGTTCATTTTCTATTTGTTGCTGGTATAGAGAAACGCAGTTGATTTCATATCCAGCAACTTTGTTAAATTCTTATTAATCCTAACAATTTATTTGCAGATTCTTTTGCATTTTCTACGCAGACAATTACATCATCTGCAAAAAATGTCAGTTGTTTCTATCTTTTTGATCCTTATATGCTTCAGTCAACTTTTCTTGCCTTAACAGCACTGTCTAGAACTTCCTTCTACTATTCCTTCATTTGAATAACTCCTACTCAATCTTTCATACTCTGTTCATCTCCTCTGGGAAGCCTTCCTAAACCCTCCAGACTACATTAGGAATCCCTCCCTTCATACCGGCCGAAAGAACCCTATGTTCAAACATTATTACAATATATTTTTAAAATGTTTTATTTTGAACCAATTTTAAAGAGAAGTTGCAAAAGTAGTATAGTGAGTATACTCATTTATTTCTTTCACTAATGTTAAACAACACCTTACAAAACCCTAGAGCAGGAAATTAATATTGGTGTAACGTTATTAATAACAGACCTCTCTCCAATTTCATGTTTTTCCATTAGTGTCCTTTTTTTCTGTTCCAAGACCCTATCCAGACTCATGCATTGCATCGAGTTATTTCTCTTTAGTCTCCTCCAATCTTTAACAGCTCCTTTGTTTCTCCTTGTTTTTCATGAGCTTGACATTTTTGAAGAGTACTGATGAGTGATTTTGTAGAATGTCCCTCAACCTGATGTTTTTTCATGATTGGCATGAAGTTACACATTTCTGGCAAGAAAACCAGAAAAATGATGCATCTTTCTCAGTACCTCGTGCCAAAGGGTTCATGGTGTCAATCTGCCTTATTACTAGTGATATTAACCTTCACCACTTACTTGTGGTGGTGTCTGCTGGCCATCTCTATTAATTACCAACTCCTGTGCAGTTTATAGATTTCTTGGGAAGAAGACTTTGAACTACTCAAGTCTTATTTTACCTTACATTTTTGCCCACTAATCTTAGCATCCATTGCTGGATCTTTTTTCCAAGTAATTACTATGGTGTCTAATGGTGATTTTCTATTTCTCTCTTCTATTTATTAATGGGAATTCTAGTCTAAGGTCGAGCTGCTCCTTTTCCATTTATTTATTTCGGTGATTATTGTCAGTATGGACTCATGGATATTTTATCCTATGGATAAAAATTTAATACTATTATTTTCTATATTGCTCAAATTATTACTTTGGCCATTAGGAACTCCTTCAGGTTGGCTCCTGTGCTCTTCTTAAGTACTTACTCATTTTCTGGCACAAGATGTCCCAGATTCATCTTGTATTTTCCCTGCTCCATCTGCTGGAATCAATTATCTCTCTAAAGAGCTTTGGTTCCTTTTATTGGAGAATGGTGTTAGAAGTCAAGATCTGGCCATTAGGTATGCTCATTATTGCCAGGGTTTTTCTAGGGCCTCTGAGCAGACAGAGCTAAGAAATGTATGTACATATACTAACCTATACATTAGTATAGGCACACATCTGTATTTCTGTACCTGTCTACCAATAAATACATATATCTGAGTTTATACTGATACCTCTGATTCTAATCTATCACCACAGGATTCATTTCACTCTTTCCTATTTCCTTATTTTAGTTTCTTTTTGTCATTGTTGAAACAGAGTCTCACTCTTGCCCTGAGTAAAATGCAGTGGCATCATCGTAGCTCACTGCAACCTCAAACTCCTGGGCTCAAGGGATCCTCCCACCTCAGCCCCCTGAGTAGCTGGGCCTTCAGGCGGACACCACAATGCCTGCCTAATTTTTCTATTTTTAGTAGAGACAGGGTCGCACTCTTGCTCAGGCTGGTCTTGAACTCCTGAGCTCAAGTGATCCTTCTGCCTCAGCCTCCCAGAGTGCTAGGATTACAGGTGTGAGCCACCGCACCCAGCCCTTATTTCCTTATTTTAAACCTTTTTCCAGCAATGAGAAACCTGCCTCTTATTATCCACAAGGTACTTATTTACTTGTTCAATTCTAGTACACACAAAAAGTGATGTCAGAATTGTTAATCCATACCCCATGAGAAACACCTTTACTTACTAGATTACAACATTCATGGAGATCTATCTTTAGCCTCACCACAATATACAGTCAAGACTCCAGCTACTTTAGTTCTTTTCTCCTGTGTCATCACCCTCCTTCTGCACTGCCCCCCCATCTTGGTTTTTTTGAATTGTTGATTTTTTGATATGAAGGCTATGAGAAACATCACTATAATCCTAAGAGTCAGAGCTACACAAAAAGATACACTCAGAAAGGTGTACTTCCTTGTTACCCTGTTACTTCATTCTCATTGCACCCTTCTTCCCACTCCTTCCCCACTAACCCCTGAAAGTAACCAATGTCTTTAGTTTCAGATTTACCCTTCTTGTATTTCTTTTGCACAAATGAGCAACACATGCATTTTCTCAAATCCCTTTCTTTCTTACATGAACAGTAACATTCTACAGATACTCTCCTCGGCTTTGCTTTTTTTCATTTAACAGTATGCCTTAGATATCACTCCATATCAGTTCAGAGATCTCTTCTTTTTAATGGGTGTATACAACCCCATAGTGTGGATATACCACAGTTCAGTGGAGCACTCTCTTATGTATAGACATTTAGGTTGTTTCCAATATTTTGAAATTACAATGCTTCCATGAGTAACCTTGGATATACATATTTTCAGAATGTAGGAGGTGTATCTTCAACATAGATTCTTATGAGTGAGATTGCTGTGTTAAAAAGTACATGGCAGTACACAGTTTTGTTAAGTACTGCCAAGTTTGCATTCTACTAGCAACACAGCATAGTGCCTATCTATCCACAGCCTTACCAACAGAACGAGTTGTCATTTTTAAAGGTTTTTGCCAGTCTGATAGGCAAGAAACAGTATCTCAGCATTGCTTTAAGTCACGTCTTTGAGTGAGTTTGAACACTTTTTCATGTTTCAGGACTATTTTTATACGTTTTTTGGTGAACTGTCTGATCACATATTTTTTTCTCATTGTTCCATCAGTGTTTGGTTCTTTATACATAAGGAAATTAACTCTTTGTGGAATATGTTCCAACTATTATTCTTTTTTAAAAAATTAACTAAACTGGATCTTATTTATTTAGATTTCCTTAGTTTTTCCCCAATGTCCCTTTTCCATTCCAAGATCCCATCCAGGATACGAAAATACATTTAATTGTCATGTCTCCTCAAACCCCTCTGGTCTGTAACAATTTCTCAGGTTTTCCTTGGTTTTGAAAGTTATAAGGAGTACCGGTGAGGCAGTGCACAGAATGGCTCTCAATTTGTGATTTTGTTTTGTTTTTTTTTTTCCCATAATTTTTGAGGAGGAAGACCACAGAAGTGCCATTCTCATCACATCATATCACAGGTATATACCACCAACGTAACTTATCACCAATGATGTTAACCTTGATTATTCCGCTAAGATAGTGTTTGCCAGATTTCTCCACCATAAAGTTACCTTTCCTCTTTATATACTACATTCCTTTCATTGCCTATTTTCTTGGTCCTCTCCTTTACTTCGTCATCTTTATATTCTCAAAGCCAAATATTTAGCAGACACTTGATAAATATTTATTGAAAGAGAGTGGAGATGAAATGGTCAGTAATCAAGCCTGAAGCCAGGAGAATGACAACTTTCCCTTCCATTTCTATCAATGGCCTGGAGCACAGACTATTAGAGAATGTGGGCAATGTACTTCAGATCATGCCCAGTTTATGTTCCGCTTCCTTTAATAGGTCTCTTTAGGTTTCAGCTCTTAGTCATGACTTCTTCATGTAAACTCTGTAGAACTTATTTATTTACTAACAATAAATTTCCCTTTATTAAGCACTTATCCTATGGCAAGTATTATGGTAATACGCATTATCTTTGTGCATTAGCTTTGCATCAATCTTACGTCATTATTACCTTTTTACAAATCAAAATTAAGGCTAAAAGAAATTAAGTTTATATACCTTTTCAGAGTCAAGGGTTCAATACTGGTCTTTATCCATAGTGGGCAGCACACAAACTCAGCATCTATCATTGATCTGAGTAATCTCTTCCTCTTCTGAACTGTACCCTACCACCTTTTCTACTTCTCATGAAACTTAAAACACACCTACTATTAGACTGGAGGCCCCCTATGGAAAGGATTATGACATTCAATTCTTCATATTCCTAAAACACTTAACATACTTTCATCTTGTGAGTGTTTAATAGACGATTTTGAATTTAGGAAGCCTCAAAGACCACCTACTGGGCACTTTGTCATTTAAAGAACACCTACTGGGCACTTTGTCATTTATCAAAGGGATCATTTTGGTCATTGTGAAAAGTGAGATCAAAGAAAAGTTGTAAAAAAGGGAAAGAATGAAGCCAAGAATCACCAAATTTTAGAGCTAGAAAGAATTTCAGAAATCTGGCCCTAATTCCTCATTTTACAGCTAAAAAGATTTAAAACCAGAAAGCTCAAGAGCTTTTCCAAGGTAACATAGTTCTTAAATATCACATTAAGGTTCTTACTACCATATCACACTGCCACACAACTCAATGACGGTACTTCTTAATGAAATAAGTGGCAATAATCAAAGAACTCTTCACATACACATTGTCCAACTATTATCTGTTAAGGTATGTGTCTATTTAGAATGGTCTTAGTGATCCGAAGAGAGCAAACCCTCTATCTCACCTAAGTGGCATAAGAAGCATGAAATAAAGTATAAATAAGAAGAGAAGATACAACTTCACTCCTGTTGATCAGATCTATAAAGCAATTGTAAAAGACCAATAGAATTTTCATTAAGACTCCATCTCAATAAAGAATGAAGCAAAGCACAGAGCAAGTAACTAAAGAAGAAAGCTACAGCCAAAAATGAGGGTGATCCTGCCACAGGGGAAGCTTAACAGTATACGAGGGGAGGGTAAGCCAATGAAAATTTGAATGGAATCTGTTTTGCATCAAAACAAAATCTCAGGAAATTAGAAGTCTTAAGAAAAGTCAATCACCTGATCTGAATATATGAGACAAAAGCAACAAATATTAGTAAATCCACTTTAA